AGGATGCATCACGTACATTGTAAGTACTATGTAGAATGTTATTGTTATCTTTTATTTAATGTTTACATATTTATGTTGGGAATTAAACAGTAAATATTAGATTCAGCCGATTCAGGCATTCAGTAACATTTATTGTTAACAGTCAAGTACCTACGTATTGGGTTTTTTAATAGGTACTTTATAATATTTTCAAAATTGTTATTGTAAATGTGTAATGTGATATGTGTACAATAGATAATATAAATGTAATTTTTGTTTAATGTTTAAATGTTTATTACCTTTTCTYAYGCATTAAATGTTAAAGCGTCATGAATTATTATTTTCATTAAGCTCATTTTATTTGGAGTTCTCGTATTTTACGTAAAAAGCTTATAACTTAAAATGGGAAAAATTAATCATTATAGTAGATATACTTCATCGGAATATGATTATGGTAAGATTTATTTTTATTTTGCTGTACAACTAAACATTTTTGTTATAACTTATAAACGCAAATATACGGAATCTAAACAAATATTGTATTATCTAATTATATTATTTGTTTTTATAGGAAGACAGTATCAACCGAAAAAACAGAACCGAAAAAAAAAACGGATTTATACAAAAAATGGTAAATATCTACGTTTTTTTAAAATTTATCTCAGCAAAATTATGAACAAATAAAATTCCTATCAAGAATAATTGCTCTGTTAACTTTATGGATAAACTCCTGTGAAAAAAGKCAAAAAAATTAAATAACCTCAACCTTACAGGTTTTTTTAATTTAATTGTAGGTATATTGTTACTATTTTTTTTTCTCATAAGTAACTTCTAATATTTTATTAAACAATTGTTGAAACTAATTTGTATTCACAAAGTTAAAAAAAAAATTCTCAACTTTTTTCAGAAAATTACCATAGAGCTAGTTTTAATCCTTGGTGTAGTAGGGCGTATGCCGCGTATACACACATCTGTTTTTTCCTGTAAGTGCATAAACCTATTAGAATAATTCATGGTACGTGTGGTATAAGTGTGYGGGAACGCATTTATTCTGTGAACCAAAAAAAATTCCAAATTTCAAATGTGGTTAAATAACTTAAAAAGATTAAAATATATTGAAATTTTTTTCATGTATAGGAAATGCTAATATATACATTCAGTGAAAATGTCATGCGTTTACAGTAATTTGTTTTAGAGTTATACCTTAACAATATGCTTTATTCTACTCTTTAAAAAAAATTTATTTCTGATATCATTTATTAATATACCTACCTCTTTATAGTAATTTGAAATAGTGTAAGTTTTAAATTAAATATTAATAATTTATTTTACTAAATTATTACATTTATTATTTTTACTTTGAATTAATGTTATGTTTCAGATCCATCAAACTTATTTTTTATAGTTTGTTTGTTTTTCGTTTTTTTTATATTCACTAATCAATCAGTAAATAAAAATTCTAAAAAGGGAAAGTATGTTACGACTATGATTGATACAAAATGGAGTATGGTACCACTTGTTTTAGAAATGGCAGAATATATGGCTGAAGAAAATCCATATTCTTTATGGTCATTTGTGGATAGTATATCACAGCTAAATCCAGCCCTAAGTGAACTTGGTATAGGAAAAGCACATATATTATTAATTTAATTTGTATTTTTTATTAAATCTCTAATAATTATTTTATAGATAATGATCAAATCAAATACCAAACTGCATTATCAAAGGCYGGATTATTATTATCCAATTCTAAGTTGAGATTGTTAAAATTTTCGTTGTCAATGCATACATATTCACCACGTATTGAAATGTATGCTCAAATGGCAGCTGATAGAGGAGTGCAATGTTCCACTTCTGTAGAAATTGATGGTGAACTTGTGTGTTCAATTGAAGGGTTAAAAAAAGTCTTACAACGAATAAATGTTAGATTTTATTTAAAGTTTTATGTAAAATTATTCATTCTAAATACTTGAACACAATATTTTTTATAGGCTGAAGGTTCAAAACATTTGTGTGAAACATATCACATAGACCATCACCATCCATCTTCTAAAAACAGAAGTAATATAGCGATATTGTATGGTGAATTAGGAACAGCAGAATTTGCATCTTATCATACAGTTTTAAAACAATATGCTCAAGAAGGCACTATAGACTATGTTTTACGTCATTTTGTAAAAGTAATTTGTGTAATATATGTTGTACAGWAAAACTCCAATTATCCGAATTCCAATTAACCAGATGAAAAAAATATGATTTTTTAATGATTCGTAAATTGTAATTGTAAATCATAATTTTGTTATTTCTCATAATATTCTTTAGATTAAATAAAGAATATGTATATACTATTTTTAGTCAGTCAGTTGTTATCTAATCGTTGTACCGTTTAGTTAGTCAATTCTTTTTACTTKTGAATTTTTGTGTTACAATGTTCATCTAATAGAAAACATGTAGTGCTTACCATGAAAGGAAAAGAAGATATCATTGCGCAATTGAAAAAAAGTGAAACAGGTTGAGCATTGGCCGTAAAGTATGGTGTTGGAATAATACGGTATATGTTTATTGTATCAAATTTAAAATTATATTACATTCATATAACTAATAAATACATGCAATATATTCATACAATTATATAACTTTTGATGTGACATATACCAATCATCTGGATATTTGTTTATCTGAACCACCACATTAATTAATCCGGATAATTGAAGTTCTGCTCTAATTACAATAACATGCTAGATTGTAATTTATATTACTAATAATTTCTGTATAGGAAAAGAGTGAACAGAAGGTCCGCCTATCTGGTTATGGTGTTGAACTTCATATGAAATCAACTGAATATAAAGCAGAAGACGATAGTGTAGTTAAAGATAAAAATGATATCAATAGAAATGAAGATGAAGAAGATATTTCAGAAATTGAAGGATTTGATTTTAAACGTCTTGTGTAAATGTTATTTACTTGATTAGTATTTACTATTCATACTGATAAACTTTTAATTTAATTTAGTGAGTTATATCCTGATAAAAAACARGATTTATTAAAATTCAGAACTCATTTATCCGAGGTTAGTGGTGAACTAGCTCCTCTTAAGGCTTGGCAATTTCAAGAATTGAGCCTACAAGCAGCACAGAGAATTATGAGTGGCCCACCACAAGATGCTATTCAGACTTTTATTCACATTGCTCAGAATTTCCCAACTCAAGTAATGTTTAACTAAAATGTATTCTATTGTTTAAAGTATAATTTTCATGTTAATTTATTTTAGGCTAGATCATTGGCTAATGTTAAAGTTAGCAAAGAACTAAGAGATGAAGTATCAAAAAACCAAGATAGTTTTTCAATGGGACTGAATTTACAACCTASTGATACAGTCTTATTATTAAATGGAATGTATTTTGATATAGATATCACAGATATGTCAACTATATTAGATTCAGTTACTCAAGAATTGAGTATAATGGAAGGATTATATTCTATAGGTAATTGATATTTTTAGTATTAAAGAAAAAATATTGAAATTTTTTTTTGTAGGCATTACAGATAAAAAAGCTGTTTCTTCCATGTTGGCATTGGATTTTGGAAATGTTAAGGGAAAGTCATATGCTGTAGATATTAGGGATTCTGCCATTCAATGGATAAATGACTTAGAGACTGATGCAATATATAAGAGGTGGCCTTCATCAGTTGATGATTTGCTTCGACCAACATTTCCTGGCATGTTACGAAGTATTCGCCGTAACCTGTATAATCTAGTAATTGTTTGTGATCCAGCTTCTAAAAGTTCTTGGCCTTTATTAAAACTAACTGATTCATTTTTAAACCATCAAAGTCCYTTACGAGTTGGGATTGTATTTAATGTCTCGCCAAAGCCAGCTATAGGACTGAACGATGCTAGTGTAGCCATATTAAATGCTTACAATTATATTGTTGAACAAACATCTAAACCATTATCTGCATTTAATTTCATWATAAATATTTATACCTCTATTAGTGAAGACAGAGATATTATTGTTGATGATGTCTTAAATAAATTTAAGAAGCAGTATCCCAAAGCAATTATTGATGAAATATTTGGAGAAGACAGTGATTATGATACTGCCCGAGTATTAGCAAAAGAGTATGTCGCTAAGACTGGGTTTAGAAAATTACCTCAAGTATTACTTAATGGGGTTCCATTACAAGAAAAATCTCTGGTAGAAGAAGACTTTGAAGAAGCTGTTTTAGTAGAATTAGTAACTCAAACGCAGACTTTACAAAAAGCTGTGTACAAAAGAGAATTGACTGATACAGACAATGTTGTAGATTGGTTGATGACACAACCAAATGTAATGCCAAGGTTATTAACTAAAAAATTATTATTATTAACAATACATTTTATGAAATTATATATATTTATCTATAAAATAATTGTTAACTGTTATAGACTGAATTCACGTGTACTCAATACAGATTCAAGTAAAAATTTGCAATTATCTGATAAACATGAATTTGTTTTGAAGTCAATGAATTATATTACTTTTGCTAAGAAATCTAGTATTAATTCAATTACACACTGGATTGTGGGAGATTTTTCTAAACTGTCTACTTTTAAATTGATCAAAAACACATTTGAACACTTGGTAAGCAAATAATTCACAATATTTAATCTTCAAATCAAAAAATAGTATTTAATAACTTATATAATATTACTTAAGTAATAAGTAATGTGGATTATGTATAGCATAACTTATAATATTTAAACATAATATTCTACTTATAATAATGACCTTTGAAACTAAGAGTTAGAAAAAAACAATCATCTTAATATGATATCTATTTTTCTATCAATATTTTTAATATAGTGTTGTGTTATCTCTGTAGTGGAACTTGGGCAATTTTGGTTAGGTTAGGTAACATTATSTTCTACAATTTACATAATGAACGTATTAGGTAGTATATTGCCGTGAGTTTTTATAAGTTCTTTCTTAAACTTTATCCCAATTTGCTTGTATTTCACAATATGGGGGTCCAACTGCAAAACATACGATAAAATGTAGCATGGTTTTCTAATTGTTCGCTATTGTCATTTTTTTTTTATAATTTTGTGTTCAGTTTGTAAAGTGAATGTTGTATATCTATTTTATTCCTGACATCTTAATAATCTAAAAACACTACAAATTTGACTTTGACATATTTTTATTATTGAGAATGATATTAGCTTGTTTATTTAATATCCTAGATAATAAAATTCCTGTATTCAGTGCAAAAATTCAAATTAATACTCTAACAATCACGCATTTTAAGCTTCCTAAACTAGAAAACTGGATATGTCAGACTATTGTAAAGCCCAATTACAAAGATAACATTCTATCAATTCCTATTTATTATTATTTATTTAAAACCTAATTTAAACTATATAAGCATTGTATGTTTTATACTTCAATAATCAAAAATAAAGAAAGGAAACTGTATTATTATGTAAATAGAAAAGAATAATATCAATATATTTTTTAATAATTTTTATCTTAAAAATATTTTTAGTTTTATTGTATAATGATATAGTTTTAAAAGTTTATAGTATGGCCAATTATGAAGGTTATTCCATTATTCATTATTATTCTACAATAGCAATAACAATTGTAAGTTATATTATATTAAATGTTAAAATTTTTTTTCTATATTGTCTGTTTCTCATATTTTACCCTATAATATACAGGGTATACCTTGAAATATACTCATTAGTCGTAGAGGAGGACCCACTGCCCAGATAAAAACCAGTTGTTTGCCATTTTATT